AAACGAGGGAGGGGGAACGAAGTGATTTAGGTAGTAGTTGCCTCTGCGGGATTTTAGCTTAGGCAACAATTTTTTTAAATGATGTGAGGTATGCGCAATAGAGTGAAACTAGTGGTGTCACAGAATGGCACAGGCTTTCCCGTATTAGTTTTCTATTTCCATGGGTCTCGGCTAGCTATGCGAACTTGCCACGTACTCTTGCCTACAACCATCTTTCGCTACCCAAAGTACATTTTTCAAACATTTTCTGAATTTTTCGATTTCCTAATAGTAGAACGGAAATATTATATAAAGAATATTAAAAAGCAGTAAAATCTCGTCCTAAATGGTAATTTTCTTGGAAAAATTTGAAGCCGCTTTTAAGAAAATGGTGTTTAAGCGCTGCTGTAAATTGGAAATTTGAAGTACTCTTTCACAGAAATTTTTTGAGTTTTCGAAAAACTTTATTAGAAGTCATTTGAAACACTTTAACTCACAAACACAATAGTGTATACAAATTGCTGGAAATGTGCATATTAACGGCAAATACATTTGTGTAATTAAAAAATAAAACAGAAATGAACTTTACGTCATAATTAAGGATGCAATTTGCGCTATCTGTTCAAAAAGTTTGAAGAAACAATTTTGAGTCATTTTTGAGAAAACGACATTTGAGAGCTTCTGAAAATGAGTAATTTTGAGCTAATTTTAACAGAAAACTTGAGTTTTCAAGAAAATTTGCATGACATTATTTAAAGCATTTATTCTATTATTTATTTATAAATATAATAATGTTAACAAATTGCCCCTAGTGTAAATATTAACGACGTTATAGACAAGTCAAAAAATTACAATTTTGAAATTTTTGAAAAAGAATAGCTTTAATGTCACCTTACATAGTACACTTGGCACTATCTCACCAAAAGTTTAAAGAAAACAATTGAAACCGTTCATGATAAAATTTTGTTTTTGTAATTTTTTAAAATGGCACATATTTACGCAATATTGCGCGAAGACTACTAAAACTCTAAAAAATGTGCATAACCTTAATGGAAGAACTCACTATGTAGGCCAAATTGTAATTGAAGGAAAAGTCTATATCTTTAATTTTGTAGTTGTAGGAAGACACCGAAAACAACATACTTTTGAAATTTTTGAAAATTCAGATTTAACCGTGAAAATCGAATTTATACCATATTTATAAGTGTATATTACTCTATTATTCCATGAAATAAAAAGAAAAAATTGGATCCTTTTTTGCCAAAAGTTTGAAAATGTCCGGAGGGCTTCATGTAAAGTACTCCCAAATTTTGAAGAATGTTTTTCAAAATCTCAAAGTTTCGACTCGAAGCAGGTAGACAGGGGTTTCTTCAATTTGGAAAAAATCGTACGCATGATTTAAGCGCTAGTATATATTTTGAAATAAATTGTTTTCTAATTCTTAATTTGGTGAAATTGTATGTTGAATGTACAATAGCTGAAGGTCCTAAAAAGAAAATAAAGTAATAAATGTCATTGTTCCATAAAACAGGGGAATTTCTCTTAGTCTAACGCTAATTCTTTCCTTCGCCCC